AACTCCCAGAATTCCCCAGCCAGCGAACGCTGGCTGGGGAATTCTGGGAGTTGAAGTCCAGACATCTTCAAGTGGCCAAGGTTGAGAAACACTGGGCTAAAGACCCAAAAGAGAAGAGGGCTGCACACCTGATAGGTGGCCTCCCCTCAGAAGACACACCCACAATAGCTCAGTTGTGGCTGAGGACTTAACGGTGAAGCATGCATGGCCAGGCGGCCCCACTCAATTGTCCTAGACCCCCCCCCCCCCAAGGCTGCATGAACAACCTAAGGAGATCCATTCCTATCTGCTCGTTGATTCGGAAGCAGGAAACGTTTTCCCCTTGATCATCGGTTTTCTGCTGAGCGCGTCATCTTCATATAAATGTCACCTGAATCATCCTCCTGGCTGCTCTCCTCCTCCTCCTGCTGCTTTTATGATCTAACAATTAAAGCTGGTAAATTGGTTGTGCCAGGCGCTGTGAACCCGGAGCTGTTATTCTAACAGCAAGGTCCCTGGGGGATTCCGAGAATTGAAGGCCAAAGTCACCAAGGTTGAAAATGACAGTTCTAGTTCACGAAGCCCCGGAATGTGTCAGGAGTAACAGCCGCCCCCCCCCCCCCCAAATGATTTCGTGAAAGAGGTACGGCAATGTCTCCCTGGGTTGTCTCTGGCTTTCTCTTTGGTAGCCCTGGGAGGCTGGACTAGAAGACCTCCAAGGTCTCTTTAAGTCCTATGACCAGCTGTCTGCAAGGAGTATCAATCCTTCCCTTTCCTCTCCATCCAGTCAACGCTGAAGAAGCTTCTTGGATGAAAAGCAAAAGACCTTTGGGAACTCCGGAAAAAAGCAAGAATAACAGATAATTTAGTTGTCGCTATTTTTCAGACTGGAAAATACTTTGCCACCATGGAGCAGGAGCCCTGGTTCATGAGGTCTAGAAACCTGGATCTTGGATTCGCGAATACCTTTCCGGTGCTGCCTTGAAGCATATCCAGGGGTGGGGTGCTGGGGGGGTTTGCACGGGATCGGACGATCCTCTAGCTAGGATTCTGCCCGGTTCAGCGAACCCACAGATTCTACCCCTGGCTGGCCATGCCCACCCCACGCCGCCCCTCCCAGGAGTCTCCACGCGGCCCGTTCACGCCAGGTAAGTGCAGGGCCTGCATGGAGGCTCGGAGAGGGTGAAAAACGGGCCTACTGGAAGTTTCCAGCCTCCTGAGGGCCTCCAGAGTCTGAGGGAGGCAGTTTTTGCCCTCCCAGAGGCTTGAAGAAAACCTCTGGGGTTTTCTGAGGAGGGCGGAAAACGCCTCAACCCTCCCTCCCGCCGTGTTGCATGAGGCTGAGTAGGCCCCGCCCACCATGGCCCCGCCCACCCAGCAACGGGGCAGCGAACCCGTTGCTGGGACTTACGAATCCCGCCCCTCAGCCTCTCGTGAGGCGGCTTCTGTGAAGGGAACGGAGGCCGAGACATTGGAAGGCCTCTGCCCAAAAAAAAGAAGAAGCTATTTTTATCCTCCGCTTTCACTGTGAAGCATCTCAAGTACTTTCGAAGGGATGACAAGGCCTCTTTTTGCTCCAGAAAACGTTTGGCTTCCGGCAAATTTCCCCCCCCCCCTTTTCTTTTAACGCAAAGCAGTCGAAAGAAAACCCGAAGAAGAAAAAGAAGAACGGAGAAAACAATGCCGGCTTTTCATCTTATAATCTCGCCCAAGTTGAGCAGAAATCTCAAGACGCTTTAAACACAATCCTTTTTTTTTCTCCCCCACCGGAGGATTCCCCCCCTCTTTCTTGCGGTATTTGCCAAAAATCTCCTCCACTTTTGGCCAGCGCTTCGAGCAAATTAACAACCCCTTCTCCACACTCGAAGTTCTACGAGGAAATAAACACGCCTTGCAAAAAGCTAAATTACATAACTCTCCATAATGAAAACAAAATTCTCTTTTTGGGGGGGGTTGCATTACTCTTTTTTTAAAAAAAGAAACGTCTATAACAAAACAAAGGAAAACAACAGAACAAGAAATAACAAAACCACCGTCATAAAATTAGACACGGGAGGCCTCTCGTATGAATTTACAACAGTTCTACACAAGAGTTATGATAAAGGATGACTGCATTCCATCCAATTGGTTGGTCCGTGGGGATGATTTTCACGTAATTGCATATGATCTTGGGAGTCATAAGACTAAAAGGGACCCTGGAGGTCTTCTAGTCCAACCCCCTGCTCAAGCTGGAGACCCCATACCATTCCAGACAAGTGGCTGTCCAGTATCTTCTTAAAAGCCTCCAGTGATGAAGCACCCACAACTTCTGGTGGCAAGCTGTTCCACTGGTTAATTATTCTCACTGTCAAGAAGTTTCCTCCTTAATTCCAGATAGCTTCTCTCCTTGATTAGTTTCCATCCATTGCTTCTTGTCCTGTTTTCTGATTCTTTGGAGAATAGTTTGACTCCCTCTTCTTCGTGGCGGCCCCTGAGATATTGAAGCACTGCTATAGTCCTCCTTTTCATTAAACTAGACATACCCAATACAAGCAACCATTCTTCATATGTTTTAGCCTCCAGCCCACGAAGGAAGGAAGGAAGGAAGGAAGGAAGGAAGGAAGGAAGGAAGGAAGGAAGGAAGGAAG